GACCGGAGAGGAATAAGAGCTGAGAAAGGACACCTAAAGCAGCACTAAAGGCTGGGAAGCCCCCAAGCCATCTTTGTGATCACCTTTGTTGCCCCAGACTTCCTGCCAAGCGCCTTACCTGAACATCTAACTCTTTTGCCTCTTTCTGAGACAAGGCGTGGTAGATTGCACCTGGGAATTAAAAAACAAAATGATTCCTGTTGGGTATGACTGTAAGACCCGAGACTTTTAAACTATGAAAATAACTATGCTCATTCAGAGACAGAAGATGGGAGTGGTACGAAGCACAAGTTCAGAGCTTTCTTGGATGCCCCTTACCCAACCCTCCGGCCACGTCCACTGTAGAAATGTCAAGGGTGTGCTTTAAAACAGCGCTTCTCAAACGTCAGTGTGTATAAGAATCTCTGGGGGGTCTCATGGAAATGTAGATTCTTGGGCCACACTCTCCTATCCTGCTTCCCTACCAAGTTCTCAGACGTTACTGCAGGCCAGCAGACCACACTGGGAGCCCCACTGCTGAAAATATCACAGGTTAACAGCCTGAGCAGTTCCTCGATTAGTCCGATAAAGTAACTCATGTAAAAGTCACGTGGTAGAGCTTTCCAGGCTGCGGATGGTGGAAATACCGAATTTTGTTAACTGTAAGATATTTAAAAAGACTTTTCACATTTTAATATCTATGAAATTGGAATGTATCATACGACTGGTGTCCTAAACTGATAAAATACCGTAGATCTTTCCTTGAGCTCAAAATATACAATGATCCATGAGGTTTCAACCTCTAAAATCTTCCACACTCCTGTTTCTTACTGAATTTGTCTAAAGAAGAAAACCGTGGCACTAGAGACAGAATATGGGTGTGAACAGAAGAATGAGACAATGGCCTGGTTTAAGGGCTAGAAGACTAGAAAATTTGGTTCACACTACACTCTATAAATTTCATCCCAGCTCCCTGTGCATTTACTTGATAAAGCAAACCAAGTGGTTACAAGTTTTATATACAGAATCTAGTTCTCCTTCAAAGGTAAGCTAGGGATTAAAACCTGTTTGTGGATAGCAACTTATAGGGCCTGGAATCCCAGGAATGACTTTGCTTCACCTGTCACAGGTGCCTACCATCAGACCTGGGAGTCTTTTCTGTAACAATACCCGTCTAATACCTGGTTAAAAGCTACACGTTTGACCTCATTACGCTTTCTGAGCAAGCCTTTAATGTAGTTATCATTAACCTGACATAGGCGGGGACCGACAAAGGCAGAACTAAAAAATCTGCCCCAAAGCCCCATTTTTAACGGTGTCTGCACTCCGCTGCCTGTAACCGTCTTGGATGCTTGCTCCTCCTCCTTGGCACATCTCCGCTCAATTCCCAAAGCCTTGGGTTAGCGATTTCATCGTCCAGCAACCTCCCAGAGCTTTACACCACACAAGGGTCGTTCACAGGCATCATTATCAGTACCCTACAGAAAGGGAAACCAGGTCGCAGGGAAGGGCAGAACCTTGACCACGGTCCCCCAGGGAGGTCGCGGCCAAGTCGCGCGCCGAGACCCTGGGTCCTCCTCTAGCGCCACACACCACTGAGCAGCCCCCAGAGAGCCGGCCTCCAGCTCTGACATCAACCGGTAGCTTGGGGACCGGGCCAGGCTGGCCGGGCCTCCGGGCCTGTTGCACTGATGCAGGGCGGGGCAATCCCTACGGCAGTTCCAGCAGGACTCCGCAGCGACCCTTTTCACCTAGCTCCAAGTCCCCGATCTTTTACATCTCACCCCCCTCCAATTTCGTGGCCCTCCACCCGCTTACTCTTCATCCTCGGTCCGCTTCCGGCGCGCTCTGATGACGTCCCCTTTGGGCGCCGCTCGCCCTTTACCTCGCCCCAATTTCTTCAGCAGCCGTCGCCCACCAGGGCCTCTCTCGTCAAGGCTGGTGGAGAAGTTCCCGGTTCCCGAGCTCCCGGTTCCTGAGGCCACAGGCTGACACGCTCGGACGCGGAGCGGGGGTCGCAGGCGCGCCGAGCTCGTGGACGGCCGCGCGGCAAGCTGAGGCCACAAGCTGACACGCTCGGACGCGGACCGGGGGTCGCAGGCGCGCCGAGCTCGTGGACGGCGCCGCCCGTGACGTCACCGCCGCGCGCCGACCTGGTGCGGCGCATGCGCAGGGGAGCGGGCTCCGCTGCAGGGGAGGCGTGGCTGGCCTGCGGCGCTGGGCGAGGCGGGAAGCTGCAGGGCGTGCGGAATG